CTTACTAAACAATGTCCATCACCCACATGTTGGCATCAAGGACATTTGCAAACTCTTCTGCCAATTCAGGGTATGATGCATAGTTGTTTGGGACCTCCAACACGCAGCTGCATGTGTTGGATATTGGTCTTCTTGTAAATATGCTCTCTGGCTCAGTAAACCGTATCTGTATCTTCTGGGCAACTGTGTGATCTGCACCTGTTGAAAACCAGAAAATAAAAGTAGATAATCTGTTTGTAGAGTCAAATCTAACTGAGAATTGTTTTTGCACAGTGCAGCAATCATTCTTGTTTTCTWAATATCAAATAGTATTACTTTATTGTACTGAAACCAAAACAAAAATAAAAGCTCAATTATAAAATCCTATGGTTAGATTTATCATTAGTTTAAAATTGGCAGCATCCGCATTGGCCAATGACAGTGTCAAAGCAAAAACTTTATATGACAACAACAGGTCAAAAGCTTCAAATACCCACAGCATGAAAATTTGGTCTTTTTGCACTTAGAATCATAATTTAAAAATTAGTGCACAAAATAACACTGGGCTCTGTTACATGCCACATCATTCAGAAAAGATTTAAGCACTGTGAGAAATTCTATTTTGATGGAGATGTAAACAATATCTAAGTTACTACAATATTCAGTACAGTTTTGATTTTAAGAATGCAAACATGGATTAGTAGAATAAATTTCTTGCTTTGGAAAAAAATGTCACAAATGTTCAAAAKTTAATGGCTATGGCAATAAAAATGAAAAATTATTACCAGTACAAAATCTGAGAAATTTCTKCAGATGAACTTCGGTACAGTTCCTTATGAACTTCTTGAGGAAGTCAAGAATCTGACTTTCTTTCTTGCTGAGGGTTTCATGTTGAAACATGCAAATGACTTTCCTGGGAGAAGGAGTGAGAATGGAAAACACTTCGTCCAATCCTCCAGGGGGAAGATTCAGCGCCTTCATWACATTGCTCCAACACTCTGCTATATATGCAGGATCCTGTACTAGTTCTTTGTGTGCWACTTCAAGCAAAGTCTTCCTGACATTTTCCTCTGTTACCAAAATTTTGACATCATGGGCCTCAAGGAAATCCAWCCATTCCTCTGTTTCAGAGACAGACTTAAAATCATTTGTGGCTTGCTCAGCTACTTTCTTTTCTTCTGAGGGAACAGTTTCTAAAAAAGTTGCAAATATGTCATCCTCCTGGATTTCAAGTCCCAGGCAGTAGGAAAGAAAGGGCTTCGGTAGTATAATAGGAAAGTACTTCACCATGTTGTAGCCAARGACCAATACTTTGCCAATGTTTTCCCACTCATCCTTCATGTCATGTCTTGTGACTGGTATTTTTATTATGTTTCCACAGGTGCACTTCATAACAAATGTTTCCCAGTACTCACTGAGTGCATCACGCAGAACTCCACCATTGTCTTCACCTTTTTCTGTAGTACCATTGGGATGGACCATTTCGATCTCCAGAAGGCAATCATTAATAGATRCAAGACCATATTTAAAGGCAGCATTTAGTTCTTGGAAAACATTTCCCCTGTGAAGCCTAAGTTTGGTGGTCTTTGGTGGCTGGCATGGATCTGTGACTGTTAATGAACATTCCACCTGAACTGGTTCCACAGGAATGGTGTCTTCAAGGTCAGAAATGCTATCATAAAGACAAGCACCTCCCATCATTATCTCTTCATCATCAGAGACTGATGCCTGTGTTTCAATAATGACATCTTCCTCTACATCCATGTCATGTTCTGTTGTCAGGTAAGTTACACAATCCCAAGATACAGTGGCAGAGGTTTCTGTGTTGGCAGCATCGTTTGTTTCATCTGAAAAAGCAGGGTCTTCTTGTGGTGATTTACTTTCAAGGGCTCATGAATGTTTTGGTTCAATATTTGAGGCAGAAGCAGCAAGGGTTTCAC